GGTGTTGGCGGGGCCATGCTTCCTCCCAAGGATCTAGGAGAAAATCTTCTGTCTCTTCCAGCTTCTGGTGGTTGCCCTTGGTGTTCCTTGGCTCGTCGATACATCACTCTGATGTCTGCCTCCTTAGTCACATAGTGTTCTGTGTCCAAATCTCCTTCTGATAAGGACACTGGTTGTTGGATTTAGGGCCCATGCAGTGTGATCTCATCTTAACTTGATTCCATCTACAAAGACCCTATTTCCAAATAAGGTCACATTCTGAGGTTTTGGGTGGGCGCGAATTTTGAGGGGGCACTATTCAATCCAGTACAGAGAATATGATTTTAAAAAATCCTAACAAAACAGTTTTCAGTGAAAAGTAAGCTTCCCTCCTGCCTGAGTCCCCTAGGCCTCAAGTCTCTGCCCCAGGGGCATCTACTGTCACTATCTCTTGGGTCTCAGTCAAGAGACGATGCATAGATCAGCATCTCTGCATATGTCCTCCCCACCCCTAAATACACGTGGTAGCATACCGTGCAAGTTTCTTTTTTTCAGTTTATCATGTGGGAATATTCCATAGGAGCCCATCAGGCTTACCCCGGCCTTTTGTCCAGCCTGTCTCTCAGAGGCCTGGTGGTCATCCTTTTGCATGCTGCTGTTCCCAGGGCACAGGACACATCTGATCTTCTTACTGCTATTTCAGGAAGGTTGGGTGGAAGCATTATTCCTGTTTTCAAGGTGAAAACATTGAGGCCTAGAGGCATCAGTCAGAGGCCACCCAGCAGAGCTGGAGCTCAAACGTAGGTCTCCTAGACTTGTGTCTGGGGTCACCCCTGCCTCAACACTGTCCCCCTTCCCCCCACGCATACCCCCAGGCAAAGGGAACTCAGAGTCCTGGTGCTACAGGGAACTAGGGACACCCCTTCCCCCGCCACATATGTACGTATCCAGCCTTGGGGTGAACACGGCAGCATCCAGCAGCCCCCTGACCTGCACGTCCTACTCCCACAGTGCACCTGTGGCGATTCTCCGGTGGCTATCCAGCCCTCATGGACTGCATGAACAAGCTCAAAAACAACAAGGTATGTCAGCGTCCCCTCTGCAAACCTCTCTGGATGTCGGTTCCAGCCCAGCCCAGGGCTGGTGGCTCCTTCCTACCCCATGGGGCACACTCTCAGGGGGCAGGGGGTGTGCTTCCTGACAGCTGTGCCCATGCCATCGTGCCTGCAGGAGTACCTGGAGTTCCGAAAAGAGCGGAGCCAGATGCTGCTATCCAGGAGAAACCAGTTGCTTCTTGAGTTCAGCTTCTGGAACGAGCCACTGCCCAGAGCAGGCCCCAACATCTATGAGCTGAGGACATACAAGCTCAAGGTGCCTCCCTCCAACAGACCCCCTCCTGCCTCCCAGCTTCCTGCTGCGGTGCTGCTTTGCAGCTGCCCGAGGTGGACGTGCCCCCACACCTCACCTAGACTGGGGTTTCTGCCCTCTCCCCGTGGGCGCAGAGCAGAGGTGTGTACGTACAGGTGCACACGTGCATACCAGGTGTGAGTCAGGGCCTGTGATCCAGGCCAAGCAGCCCCTGGAGCTAGGGCGACAGGACAGTTTCCCATCCCTGCCCAGCTGTGACGCCAGGAATGTAAGGTGGGGGCTCACTCCCACCCTCTCTGTGGTTGTCTTTCAGCCAGGAACCATGATCGAGTGGGGGAACAACTGGTGAGTGACAGCACCAGGGCTGGGGGTGGGGGAACCCTGCTCACCTGCCCCACCACGGGCCACCTTTTCCACGGCCAGATCACAGGGAACCCAGGGTCCTCTGCCCTTGGTGGATCTGGAGAAAGATCCAACTAGGAGGTGAGGATCTCTTAGAGGATTGTGCGGCCTCCCTTGTAGAACACCCCACCTCCATCACCCCTTTACCCCATCTCCTCGGAGAGCTGTGGGCCCTACCTCAGGCCCCTCCTGGGAGTCAGCCTCAGTCCACCTCAGGGGACCCTTGCACCAGCCCTGGCTTCTGCCCCGTACTCTTCTCCAGGGCTCGAGCTATCAAGTACCGGCAGGAGAACCAGGAGGCAGTGGGCGGCTTCTTCTCACAGATAGGAGAGCTCTACATTGTGCACCATCTCTGGGGTAGGTTGGGGACCTTCCAGGAGCCTTTTATTAGTCCTTCCTCCACTGTCACTCTCTGTAGACAATGGGGATTCATCATTGCCCTCATGAAACTTACATTCTAGCTGGAGATACTAAGTCTGACATAAACTACAAACAAGGATTAATTTCAGATTATTACAAATAATATTTGTAGGCGGGGCATAGTGGCTCATGCCTGTTATCCCAGCAGTTTGGGAAGCTGAGGCAGGAGGGTCACTTGAGGCCAGGAGTTGAGATATAATGAGACCCCGTCTCTACCAAACCCCTCCCCCTCCAAATTAGCCAGGTATGGTGGCACATGCCTGTAGTCCCAGCTACTCAGGAGGCCCAGGATTTCAAGGTTACAGTGAGCTATGATCACACCACTGCACTCTATCTAGCCTGGGTGACAAAGTGAGACCACACCCTGCCCCTCTAAAAAAAAAAAATTCACATAAAGGATGTGGGAAGAAAAGAAAAAAAAAAAACCCAAATAATACTTGTAGAAAAGAGGCAGGGAGAGATGATGGAGAAAAACATTGGCTCGGGTAGACAAAGAATAGCGCCCTGAGGGGGTAAAATGTGAGCTGAGAGCTAAAGGATGAGGAGCCAGCTGTGAATTGCTGGGGAAAAACATTCCAAGTGGACAGAACAGCACATGCAAAGGTCCTGTGGTAGGGAAAGACCTTCGGGGTTTTGAGGCATAGCAAGGAGATTGGTGTGGAGTGAGTGGGGAAGAGTGTGAGGAGATGGAACAGGAGAGGGGACTGGGGCCACATCAGGTGGGGATGAGCTGGGATTTATTGTAAATGCAGCAGGAGGCTGCCTCAGTGTTTGCTTCAAGCAGCAGTGACATGGCCTGATTTATGTTCTCATGTGATTCCTCCGGCTGCTGTGGCTTTGCCAAGAGTGCTTGGTGGGGGAGCAAGAGAGGAAACAGGGCACCAGAGGACGGTCACACAAGTTCAGGCAGGAGAGGACGGGGGCCTGGCCTGAGGTAGTGGCAGTGGGATGCTGAGAAGTCCACAGATTCTCCAGTCTATTTTTTTTTTTTTTTCTTTTTGGGACAGAGTCTCACTCTGTTGCGCGGGCTAGAGCGCCATGGCGTCAGCCTAGCTCACAGCAACCTCAAACTGCTGGGCTCAAGCGATCCTTCTGCCTTAGCCTCCCGAGTAGCTGGGACTACAGGCATGTGCCACCATGCCC